ATACCCCCACCTACCTCGCATTCCGGCCGATAAGGGCCCAATCGGGACCTCCCATCCAGACTGTAAGAAATCAATACAAAGTGACAGTTTGTTGTTCAATATCGTCTTTCCTGTCGTCGACGATGCGAAAAGCGTGGCAGGAATGGGACGCGGCGCACATCGCGCGCGGCAGTCAATCTGGGCCCGCCCATCCTGACTGTAAAAAATCCATACAACGTCGACTTCGTTTTTTCCTCTCAGCATGGCCTGCCTCGTCGCCGACGGTGCGAAATATGTGGCAGCAGTGGGACGCGGCGCACATATGGGACGCGGCGCACATCGCGCGCGCGGCCGTCAATCGGGGCCCGCCCATCCTGACTGTAAAAAACCAATATACAAAGTCTTCGATTGTTCCTGTCAGATGGCCTCCCTTGTCGCCGACGGTGCGAAACATGTGGCAGGAATGGGACGCGGCGCACATCGCGCGCGGACGTCCATGCGGGCTGAGCGCCCTCCCATCCCGATTGTACACAACGATACCGAATTGCCGTTTTTCCTTTCATCATGGCCTGTCTTGTCGTCGAAGATGCGAAATGCGTGGCAGGAACGGGGCGCGGCGCAAGGCGCGCGCGGACTTCTGGGGCAACCCCAAGGCGGGAGGGGCCACCGTACTTGTCAGAAGCAATGCCATGATGATTTTCCCTGCCCACATAGCTGTTCTTGTCGTCCACCCCGCAAAAGTGCATGGCAAGAAGTGGGCGCGGCACACCCCCCTCCCCACCCGCTCGAAGTGAATGAAATGGATTTCCCGCTTGGGCGCCGAGCGACATTCTCTCAAAGTTGCGTTCCCGCTTTGGCTCGGCGCACGTTTCTAGCTCGCCAATTCATTGGGCGCCGGGGCGTTCCAGAAGGCCCTGGGGTGACGAATACCTGAGAGGTTTTTGCTTGTTCAGGCTCTTGGAGGGCCTCGAGAGGCTCCCCGCGGTTTCGTCGCGGCGTCTTCGGCCGTCTGGAGGCCATCTTGGGTGTCTTGGTACGATTTTTCGGCGACCCAGGGCCCCTCGGATCGTCTCTGGGGCGTCTCGGCTCTCTTGGGGCGTTCCTGGGGCGCTCTGGGACCTGGAAATCAGCGCCGAAGAAAAAAACAATCGTTGGGACCGACGTGCCCAGGACCTGCTCGGGGTTCTTTTCGTCCGGGGGCCCCCAGGGGCCGCCCCGCGCGCACAAACTAGAAGATTGTTAACTAGTTACCGGAGATCTTAGCACGCCTCTGGCCCGTGGGGATGGCCCGGGACCTGCGCATATGGGGCGCGGCGCACATCGCGCGCGGGGAACGTCTAGCCGCCCACGGTATAAGATAAACGACCCGCGTCGGACGCGACGCGTTTGCTTCTTATGTTGTGGGAGGGCGGGTGGGAGTGGACGGGGCCCTCTCGCTCGTTCGAGCTGGCTAACTTGACCCCCACCCCCACCCCCACCCCCCAGCCCCAGCCCCAGCCCCAGCCCCACCCCCACTTTCACCCCAACTTTCACCCCAACTGCCACCCCCACATTCACCCCCACTTTCACCCTCACCCCCACCCTCACCACCCTCACCACCCTCACCACCACCCTCACCACCACCCACACCCTCACCCTCACCCTCACCCTCACCCTGACCCTGATCTTTGTTCCTTATTATTATATACCCCCACCTACCTCGTATTCCGGCCGATAGCGGCCCAATCCGGGACCTCCCATCCGAACTGTAAAAAATCAATAGAAAGTGGCCGTTTTTCTGCTCAACATCGTCTTTCTTGTCGTCGACGATGCGAAAAGCGTGGCAGGGATGGGACGCGGCGCACATCGCGCGCGGCAGTCAATCTGGGCCCGCCCATCCTGACTGTAAAAAATCCATACAACGTCGACTTCGTTTTTTCCTCTCAGCATGGCCTGCCTTGTCGCCGACGGTGCGAAATAGGTGGCAGGAATGGGACGCGGCGCACATATGGGACGCGCCGCACATCGCGAGCGGCCGTCAATCTGGGCCCGCCCATCCTGACTGTAAAACATCGATACAAAGTCTCCATTTTTCCACTCAGCATGGCTTGCCTTGTCGCCGACGGTGCGAAATCTGTGGCAGGAACGGGGCGCGGCGCACATCGCGCACGGACGTCCATGCGGGCTTCGGGCCCTCCCATCCTGATTGCAAAAAACAATACAGAGTACCACTACCACTACCACTACCACTACTAGTACTACTACTACAACTGCTACTACTACTACGACTACTACTACTACTACTACTACTACTACTACTACTACTACTACCGCTACTACTACTACCACTACTACTACTACTACTACCTACTACTACTACTACCACCACCACCACCACCACCACCAACCACCACCACTACCACCACCACTATTACTACTACTACTACTACTACTACTACAACTAACTAAACTACATACTCCTACTCTACTACCACTACTACTACTACTCACTACTACTAGGGACTAAATACTACTACGACTACTACGATTTTTGTTCTACTACTGACTAATACTACTACTAAATACTACAACTGATACTACTACAACTACTACTACTACTACTACTACTACTAACTACTACTACGACTAACGACTACGAACTACGACTACGACTACGACTACGACTACTACTACTACTACTACCACTACTACTACTACTACTACTACTACTACTACTTCTTCTTCTTCTTCTACTACTACTAGAAACTACTACAACTAGAAACTAATACTACTACTAGAAACTACTACTACTACGACTACTACTACTACTACTACTACTACTACTACTACTACTACTACGACTACTACGACTACTACTAGTACTACGACAACTACGACTACTACGACTACTACGACTACGACTACGACTACGTCTACGACTACGACTACGACTACGACTACTACTACTACCACTACTACTACTACTACTACTACTACTACTACTACTACTACTACTACTACTACTACTAGCTACTTCTCATATTACTACTACTACTACTACTACTAACTACTACTACTACTACTGCTACACTACTACTACTAACTACTACTACTAACTACTACACACTACAACTACGACGACTACTACTACTACTACTTACTACTACTAACTACTACTACTACAACTACCTTCTACTACCACTACTACTACTACTACTACTACTACCTACTACTCACTACCACGACCACTACTCTACTAACTACTACACCCACACCCACCAACCACCAACCCACCACCACCACCACCACCCCAATCCACCACCACCACCACCACTACACTACTACTACTACTACTA